AATTAGGGAAACGAGGAATTACTTTTAAACGTTTAAATTATTTTTGGGAAATATAAACGTGGTTTATTTTTTTCCTGTATTTCTCCCTAGATTTACCATACCTATACTTAATTACATCAGCAATTGATATATTTATACGAAATATCAAGAGAATTATAAACTTTAAACCTAAATACACTATTATCTACATGGTATTCGGGCATTTCATTTGAATAAATACTAAAAGTTCCACGTCTAAAAGCAAAAAAATACAAGAAACGGACTAACCACCAAATCCTCTTATCTCCAGTGGTCATGAACTTTCGGACTAAACTAAGTCCATCATGAAATGAGAAAAATGTAACAGACAACTTTTAAATATTACATCCTTTTTTTTCCTGTAAACTCCCAGTGGAGCATTGGGCCGCAACAACACCTCGCCAACGGAAGGTGTTGTTGCAGTTACTTGTAGCAGGTTGGTTTTTACGCCCCGCACCCAACCCTCCTCCTTTCTCATCCTGGACTTGGGACCAGGCAAAGGCGGAGGTTTGGCATGTTTGGTGTGACGGGGATTCGAACCAGCGACCCTCAGATTACGAGTCGAGCGCCCTAACCACCTGGCCATGTCGCGCCCAATATTACATCTTAGAGCATCAATATTAGTTTTTTGCAACATTGATTTCAGTCCTGAACTTATGAATCAAAGAACTCTTAGTTAAATTGTAATTTCTCTGTGGTTACGAAATATCTAGCACGGACGAATTTATGCATCAACATTTTATTAACATTAATTATTTTTTTATAGAAAAATAAGTTATCGTGTTTTATGATTAACAGAATACTTTTTACATATTTAACTAAGCAAAGTTTTTATACAGCAAATCCTATTGACTGTCTAAGTACCCTCTAATCATCAGTTTATCATTTATGAGTAAATATTCTTTAGTTATTCTGTTGAAACATGTTATCCAAAGGGATATACACAGTTTAGATCTTATTGTTACCTACTTTCTTTTGTTAAGTTTAACACCAGATTGCACTTTTACAATAATCGTTAATAGTTCATAAATTTACTTGTCCTTTCTGTCAGCAAAGCTGTATTGGTACAAAAGGAAACAAAAAGGAACAGTTGGTACAAAAAGGAAACTATCAACACGAATAAAAGAATACGTAACTTCAAATCATCTACTTAGTCTTGTATATTTGTATATCAGAACATGCCCTAGAAAGATGTGACGTTGTCGTTCATTCTAATTTCTTTAAGATTCTTGCAAGGGCCAATGATGAGAGTCTTTAAAATATTCAGTGTTGTTAGTTTTGAAAAAAGCTAATCTTAAGGCATTAAGATTTAGTATTTGATAGCACCTATTTAATAACTTTCTAAAATACACTATAAAAGCTTAAATTTTTAAGATTTTGATACTCTTCACTATTCTAAGCATTTGCTTCTAACAAAAGTTCACTTACAATTTGAACCACAAATTACATAGATAAGAATGAAAATGTTTATGGTGTTAAACTGTTAGAAAACCATGTGTCAGCATTTAGACTGGTCAAGAGTCTTAAGAAAGACCCAAAGTATAAAGTATTACATAAAACATTTGAAGAACAAAGTATTTAAAATGAAGTACAGTTATATTTACAGTTTCGCATATTTCGTAATGAAAGGTCATCTAAGCTCAAAATGATAGCCACGCGTGATGTTTAATTAAGTAAAGCTAAAATAAATGTATCGAACTGTAATGTGCAAGAAAACTGCTTTATGACACTTCGAAACAGGACACTTTTCTTCATACGCTAACAGTCGGACTTTCAATGTTTCGATGTTAACTTTCTGAACATTTGCATTGAGCAAAAAATAATTATTCTACTGATGGACGACTGAAACTTTTCAAGTACTGGGTTAGTTTTGTAAAGAGTATTCGTGCCTAAAGTATAAACATTCCTATCGTGTTACTATAAAAGTAGCAGCTAGATGATAAACAATATATACATATAGCACAATACTGACTCACGAAAGCTTTTCCAGAAATATTAGTGCCTCTTTAAAGCCATAGAGATTTATTTCCTATGCGAACATGAATTCGTTATTAATCTAGCAATATTCTGTTTAGTGTAGACATATTTTCTAAAGGTCCTTTAATTACTTTCAAAGAGTGTACTATAGTTGTAACTTTAATGATCTTCGTAAAATATATTTTCCTGTACATCACTCTACGACGTTATCTTTAATAAAATCGAGAGGAATTTCAATAGTATCTTAAAAAAACAACTATTTCAAATTTGGTGAAACACATGAATACAAATCAAAGTTTTGCTATGGGAAATAACATGGATATACATTTTGCTGAAGTATCTATGTACTTCTTGATCGTTAGAACTCTAAAATGGTTCACATTTGTGTTTGTTTTGTTTGTTTATTTTTAGAGCAATGTCACCTGGAAAAATCGAACCCCGAATTTTAGCGTTGTAGATCCGTAAACTTACCGCTGTCCCACTAGGGACCTGTAACATTTATCAACTTTGAATTGCTTGAATGATAAAATATAGGCGTATCAGACTCCTTAAGGTTTTTCCTGAAAAAATATCACACTAGCAGTCTTAAATTGTTTCATCACGAACATTTTTATGATATTTGAATCAGATGAAATATCAATCTACAATATGGACGTTTTCCTTACAACTTTTATTCAAACTCCATGGGTCATTTCAGCTGATCTGTCTTCCATCAGAAATAGATCACTGCTGAAGAGGTCTTTCACTGAATTCCAGAACCCATTAGCCAGATTGGACTGGCAGAAGACAAAAGAGCTTTAAAAACTACTATTCTTGCGTAATATATAACAGTTTATTGTTAAGGAAAGAAAAAAAATCTTAAACAAATTTTCTGTATATTGTGGTAATCAAAACAATTATGTCGAACGTAGAAGCATTAAACTTTTTCTGTGTCATTAATCACAATATGAACACATAATACTTTTTTGTTTTTAACTAAACTAAATACGATATGATTATCAATGATACCATATATTAATGATATCAGAATGATATCATATATTAAAGTAATTAAAAATTACAAAATGTTAAAATATTGTGCAATTAAGGAATAATTATATTTGAAAATAAAAAGTAGAAATTTGTTTATATGTGTTACTAAATTATTTCATTAATCGTGTACTTTCCTACGTGTTTTCATTTATTTATTGTCATACATGTGTTTTGGTTTTTTTTAATCGCTAAGCAATAAAGAAATGCCTAGTACTCAGAATTTATTGAATTAGGCAAAGTATATTTATTTTTTACAATAACTGAAATCCAACTAGTTACGAACATGATTTGTTCCCTGGTTAAACTACTAAATACACAATATTATAAACAATTTCAGATATGGCGAAGAAAACAAAAGGTATAACGTGTGAAAATGAGCTGCATCAGAGTGCAGTCACGTTTTGATACTATACAGTGTGATTGGTTATCATCCAATCAATATAACGCCTATAAAAGTATAGACAGTTATATTATGCCCAGTACTAGTAGTAGTAGTGTGAATTTAGTCCTGACCCTCAGGACTGAAATACCGCATGGCATGCTTGTAGAAATAAAAGTCTTGGCTGTTTAAGGATACTCCATGTGATAACTTGCTACTAGGCCCTATATGTTAGACGGAGCTGTATGGAAGACTCTAAAGTGGTACCTGAAGCTAGTGCTTAATAATAGAAGTGGTTTAGGTAGAAAATCTAAACTCCCTAAGACAACTCTATTTTTAGAGTTATGATAGATGTATTCAAAATATTCTTATATATGATGCTTTGATAAACACAATAAGCATCTCAAGGTATGTTCTTAAAGGAATAGACAGTCGAGCCCAGATCTTTCCAACGACCATGCTGTAAATACAAGTGTGTAAGTTACCTCTAGAATAGTAAGATACACATTAGCACGAAGTAATCTAAATGAATGTATAATATAAGTTTCGGGTTGTATCTCAGGCAATGACATAAGTGATCTACAACAAAATTTATGACATGCTGACTGTTGACAAGTATAAGCAAATTCTAATCCATCATGTTATTCCCTCGGATATGTCGCTCATAGTGTAAGGCTGATTTTGATAATGAAACCAAGAATATACATTAGATCTGGTGCAAGGATAACTCAACAGTAAAAGTAAAAAGGTCGATGAAACACTCAAGATCGTTGCTTGGCCTGCAAATATTCCGAATATGAATATTATTTACGCCATATGGGCTTATTTAAAAATTGAGATGATCAAAAGGTCACCCAACAACTTGGCTTATATACATATGAACACAACATATAATCAGCAAATACAAACAAAAGCTAAATATTTTATGCAGTCATGAATTACGTATTGAGACTTAAAGTGTTTAATCCTATTGGGATAACATTATTGTAATATTTATAGAACTCATTTGAAGTTGGTGAGTTGAATTCTATGAGTTGTTTAATCCACAAAAACGTAATTGTTTTCACATTTCGTTGCTTGAAGTTTGTGTAGATATGTCTACGACTTGCTGTAACGATAAATTAATCAATATATAAGTTACTTGTGCGGATTGTAAATTTTGCTTTTAAGAAAAAAATACAAAAAATATATAAATATCCTACGAATCTATAAATTACTAAAACATTCTCATGACCGACAATTGAGTTACTGCCACAGATAATATTGAAAAGGATAGGGTCGATAACCGAAAAAGAGCACTCAAACCCAGCTTAAGATTTAACACATTTTATTTACCCATTCTAGTTAGTGGGCTTAAATATAATATTAGTGTATATATATTTTTTCCGTACATTTTTTTCTAATTTTTTACAAATAAGATGGTCACATTTCAATAAAGCACCTCCTACTGCATCTGATATCATGTTCTTAATGCAGATTATACAGAGGCAGAAAGAAGGAAAGCATTTACTCACCACGTGTTTTAAATTTCTTTTATTATGTTCCCTAGTTATTATGGACTATAATAATGGATCTAATATATCACGTGTGCTACTTCTTCATTTCTATCTATATTTATCTTTTATGGTGACAACCGACATAAGCCAAGAAGAAGACTCTTCAAGGTACCTAACAAAAAACACACAAAAAAAGCTCGATTGAAACTATCTTGAATATATAAAAGGTGCAAAATACTGAAAATCAATAGATTTAAAATTCATGATAAAACTGTAGATTTTTCACGTTCTTCTGTATTGAAATATAAAAAACAACATCTGCAGTGTTGTACTGTTACGAATATATGACCTATCGATTGAATATTTGTATAAACAGCCTTCGGGTAAAAAATTTACCTTACCAAAAAGAAAAATTACCTGATCTTTCCACGACCAGCATGATGAAATCACTTTCATGATCAACAGAGTAAAATAAACATCTTTTATCAGTTTCTTTTAAGGTACATAAAAGACAAACTGATATTACACCAGACATCAAGAAAAAAATATCTGAGCAATTTGTCGATGCTGATTCTAAAAATCACGTTGAAAGTTACTTATCTCCTCTATTTTTAGAGTTATGAATTAATTTATTCAAAATATTCTTATATATGATGCTTTGATAAACACAAGTCACGAATCAGATCATTTAGCCTTTCTTGTGTGATCAGATGAGGCAATTTTTGTTGAGGAATAGAATTACTAGATGAAGAGGATGAAGATTATTCATTACCTTTTTTTTGGCAAGATAACTCTTCTGTTTCCCAATTCGCTGGTGGGTGTGGCACTGGAAAACCATTTCCATAGGATACTGGTTTAATAGCAGATGCAATATCTGGATATTTTATGTATTGTATAGTTTTGCCTGAATATCCAGAAACATTATTCATGCAAAAATACAAGCCAGTTAGATTATCTTTGGGCTTACACTATATCATGAGAATTGCAATTGGCATACTTGGTCTCTTCTTCTTCAGCCACTGTGTCAAGCCAGATGTGCAAACTGTACAAAACATATGGTTTCGTGATTTCCAGGCAGAGCAAATAAGTGTGGGAATGAAGCAAAAGTGAATATAGAATATACGAATAATATATTTCGACTTTTACACCAATACAATACAGTAACTGTTTAAAACTATCAAAAATATATGCCTTTTATCCATTAAACTGTCCAAGTAAACTTACTTTCACAGCATATATATATATATTGTACTGCGTTAATTGCATGGTATTTCAAATAGTGCTGATAAAGTATTAAGATATTACAATAACTCAAATTCTAGAGGCGATGAACGAATTCTGAATACATTTTTGAAATTAGCACCACTACATTACTCTGTATGACTTGAGTTTTCTTCACTAACGATTTTGTTGTTGTCCAGTGATATTTTAATGACCAACGAAGTGAAATCAGCAAGTTTTACATGTATTATAAGATACACAGAAGACCATCTTTTTCATGACCATTAGCATGATATCAACAGTCTTCTTCAGTTTTCTAGGAAGATACACAAATTTAACTGCCTGATCCTTTATAAGAACAGGTTTGAGTTAAACCTGCATAAGGCTTACGAAACAATAGAGGATGTGTATTGTACTTAATATTGAAAAGTAACGTATGATTGCCTACATCATTTACAACGTTGCTGTATGTTTGCTGATTGTAAACAGGCATGATTGGTCTACAGGAAATTAAGTTCCATTCTTTCTAAGCATCCATTATGCAATTTAATTACCAGTTTTGTAACCTTCTTTTGATGTAAATTACGCAACTCACCTGTCACAAAACTGAATGACACATTTGAAATATGCTATTAAATATATAAACACAATTTAGCTTGAAAATGTATTATGAGTTCTGAAAAAAAACCTTTTATTTAAACAAAAAATAATTAAGTAAAAGCCTTTAAGTTCAGTAGAGGAGCGATCGAAAATTTTGCTATATTTTTTTTCACACTCAATGCGTCCCTATACATTGCTGTGCCCTTCAATAATGTTCTCACACTATAGGCAATTGCTGCAGATAAGCAGAATAAATCATTATTTTGAAAACTATTATTTATCATACAACCACTTAATCGTTTTTGTGAATATATATATGCAACTAATGGTTCAATAGGGCAAATTGTTTAAGAGCTGTAAATTAAGAAAATACAAGAAAAAATATGAAATGTGTTGTTGTTGTTTTTTCATATTATTACGTAGTTATAATATTCTATTGCATTTCACAGGACGCCAGCAAAGTTAGTTTTGCTTTAAATTTCGGCATGTTAAATTTTCTCCTTCTTAAATACTTCCTGTAACAAAATATTAAAATTTTAGTAGTGTTATTTTCATTAAATATTGATCATTATTTGTTATTTAAAAAGGCTTCCAGCACCTTACAGTTTAAAAAATTAAGTATTACTTTGATTAAGTAAGCGGAGCGCATTTTTTTCGTTAATTTTGGTGTCTTACTTTTTTACTCTTTAATTTCAGACTAATCAGCCAAGTGGACAAAAAGAAATAAAATTATTGGCTGAAACATTAAACATATGCGCGCGCGCGTGTGTGTGTTGAATTCTTAAGTTAAACTCTCGGCGAAATTCGTGTTTTATAATATTTATTCTAACTACAGAACTTAATTTTTAGATTAAATGAAGCTTACCGTTCCAAGATGTGAAAGCTTTATTATTACTATATCTCTGTCTCTTGCAAAACTGAAGAACACAGTTTAATTTAAGTAAAAGAAAAAAAATTCATATTCGCCACATTCGCAGAAAATAGAGTTTTATAGAAAGTTTAATTATAAAAGTATTGACACAGGCATTTCAAAAATGTATAAATTATCGCATTTGAAATACGGTGATTAAGTTATTTGTTTATTTTACGGCTGAAAGCTTTCGAATTATTACGAGGAATGAAAACGTATTTTCCTGTAAAACCTGGTATCCTCTTGGGTTAACATGTTACATATAAAAAGACTCGAAAGCTTAGATGGATTTTCTTTAATGAAATTAATTATGAAAGAAAATATACATAATCCTTGAAATTACTTTTACAGAGAACATATGAACGACATGTAGAAGACGATTTACTTGTGGGTATGGAGGGGGAAGGAGAACGATGAAGAGCTTCTTGACGTACATTAGCAAGACTAAAATAAAAAAGGAATCACCATTTCAATGTGAAGTTTACTATAAAAAATATTCACATGTTTATATTTTAATTTTGAAAGTTTTATTCGAAACATTTTGAAGAAAATTTAGTTAAAATATTAATTCATTGTGCTTATAAAATATGTAGTACGTATGAAGTTATGCGTAAAGAATTTATTTTTATACAAAAATTAGTTCCCATGTTTTATCATTGTCAGCATATATGCATATATATTTTTTAGTTATTTAAATAAGCCAAGTCTTTAAACAGCAAATTCAATTTACGGGTCTTATTATTCTCCAGTCATCAGTTTACCATTTATGGGTAAATGTTCGTTAGTTATTAAACATCAGTTGAAACATTAAGGTGTATGTTTAAACATAATTGTTGCCTACTTTCCTTATTTGAACTTGTGGACCATATTTAAGCTTTACAATCATTGTTAGTTGCTTATAAATTTACTTGTCCTTGCTGTCAGCAAGACTATATTGGTTCTACAAAAAGGAAACTATTAACACGAGTAAAAGAACCCTCCAACTTCAGATCACATACTAAATCAAGTATATTAGAGCATGCCCAAAGAGAATGTGATGTTGTTGTTCGTTCTAATTGTCTGACGGTGGGACAGCGGTAAGTTTTCGGATTTACAACGCTAAAATCAGGTGTTCGATTCCCCACGGTGGACCTAGCAGATAGCCTGATGTGGCTTTGCTATAACAAAATATATACACACACACACTTCGTTCTAATTTGTTTAAGATCCCTGCAAGGACCATTGGTGAGAGTTTTTAAAAGAGAGTATTTTGATTTTCAAGCTGAGGCTTGAAATCAGTTGCTTTCGATATTTTTCTGTATATTTCTTAATGTCTGTAATTTTTGAATTGTTAAAGAGATAAAGTCAAGAAACAACGAGTCGCTAAAAATGTTGAACATTTCGAAAGTTACATATTCTATATGAAGTGGTACCAATATTACTAAGGACATAGACCCTTAATTGTGTAAAAATGCACGATATAAGAAATCATAAAGAAGTATCGGTCTCAGTTTGTGTTCTTTCTAGTTTTAGATATTTTCAAAATTAATCTTTTTGCTTACAAAATTATAAGGGCATTGATGTATAGCATTGAAATTTTACTTTTTGCAAAAAAAGATTGAAAGTGTATACCATTTCCTATGTGGTGCTTGGACTAATGACGTGCGATAATTAACCTTTAACATTAGAAAATAGTGTATTTAGGACATAGATTAACAAAGATGCCCTTAGTTTAACAATAGCATAATTTCAAGCTGTGCCGCTAATTTAAATATCTTATATCTCTTGAAAATACGTGGATTTATCTATCAGTATGCATACTTAAAATTACTATGTAAGAAATGATAAACAAAATGACTATAGTGTACTGGAAAGTTCTTCCATCGTTTATTATTGCAAGAGAAATATCTTGCAATGCTATGCTATGCTATGCTATGCTATGCTATGCAATGCTTCTTTCACAGTCTCCTAAGAAGTCAAGATCATCATATTTGACGTAACACTTGGCAGTATACAGCACGTATCCCTGAAAGTAAAGAAAGAATAAATTCATATAACTTAAATTATCTTTAAATATAATTAGTAAAAATCATGTCCCAATATTTCAATAATTCTTTATATTTTTTCTAATTATTCCTCATAATGCATGGTTCTTGTGCTTTTACTTCATGTGTATCAAGTAACATACATTTCGCCGATGATTTGTTTCAACTTAAATTTTATATCATAGAACGCATCTACAGAACTTTGTGCTTATGCATTAAATATTTGAGTTACTGAATATATACAAAACCCTCATTTATTTTTATTTTCTTGAACATAAAACGAACATATAAGTTTTGTGTTAATAGATACATATTTTTCAACAGTGGTTTATTAGAATGTAATTTTATGAGCACTGTCATAAGTAAATGAAATAAGTGTAGCAAAAAGTATTTGTAGTTGCAAAGCTCATACATAAACCAAATGTTGCTGGAGAATTTAGTAAATATGTCATAGCTTTTTCTATATCTTTTCAAACACTTTTTAACATTCTACAGAATAAGCGAAATTTTGCATATTGCCTTTCAGTTATTCTTATTAATGTTGAAATTTATTTTGAGTGCCTATTAAGACGTTTCTTTAAAGTTTAGACACAGCAATTTAACTACCGTAAAATATATCATTGTTTATAAGAGCTATTGAATTATTTATGTTTAGTTTACAACCTTAGCAAATGTAAGAATTTATCTTCTCTCCCTACCCTAAAAAAACAATATAGTGGAGACACTAGAAAAAAAACATTAACATGAGCATTGAAACTTAAATCTGATGATGACTATTTCCTCCATTTTTATGTCTAGTTGAATATCCACTCTCTTTAGAAAGTAGTTAAGTGCTGCAGACACTGCGTATTTGAATACTGTAAACAAAGAGAAAATATTATTTTCATATTGTTTTAACTTAAAGAATATATAACGAAATTAGCAAAATGACAAAATTCTACATTATCACACTTCCAACTTTTCTATTTTGATGCTAATTCTTCAGACTTTCATATTCTCCTTAGACTTGTGCAATTAATCGAAATCCTACAGACATATTAGGGAAAAATGGATTTTAAAAAACAATTAGAATATTATTGTAAACACAAAAAGGAAGAACTGAAACTTACAATATGATTAAATTACAATTAAAATGTTACCTGGTGAACCTTACCTATAGTAATAGGTAGGCAGAACTAAACTTCATAAAAATCTATAGCCAAAATATAGAAAAGTAATCATTTAAAATAAGATAAAGGAAACTTCGAAACTTAGCTAACTAGCTCGTATAGCTAAAAGGTAATTTAGGGCCTAAATAACTTTAACTACATTTCATTGAAATATATAATTGGTCTAATATTTCAATTTCCTATCCTACAATAATGATTTATTACCTATCAGTGTTTAGTTCGTAATTAGAGCAAAATAGCTTATGATTACCATCAACATCAACTAATCAGTGATATATTACATGATAACAGCTTCTCTGGTGCCTATTAAAAGTACTATTCCATATGTAATTTTATATTTGTAAAAAGCCTTATCCTATCACGCATTTACAAATGACAGGTATAGAATTAGATAAAAACGTATTATTCTTTGTTAAGACAGGAGATAATAAGAAAATGATATAGTAATTCTGAAAACAGTAGTATTGTTATACTGTTTCGTTACGACTCTTCCTTATTTTATTTCTTATTTAAAATTACAGTGTACAAGATAAGACGCACATTCGAAGTCTCAATGTCCAAAGTTCAAAAACAACTTTAAGTTATTAGTTTCACAAATACGCTGATTTTAGGTTTATCTTTGTCATGTTAATTCATAGATATCCACGTTTCTTATGTTCATTTGCGATATGTACTAATAAAGTTTAAATATTTTATTTTAACTCCCAAATTTTATAAATATGATAATATGAGTTTAATTGAAAATACCACTTAAAGCTGTTACAGTAAACTCTTTACATTATTTCATCTACAATTACTATTTTTCTTACATTTCTCTACATAGGAATTGGAATCAAACTCAAAACTCATTTATGGCTAGCGATCGATCTATCAAGTTTTGTTTTCGTTAACTACGTCCAAGAGAATAACAGTGTTAATAATCATTACAATATTTTGATTAGCCCCACAGTGGCACAGCGGTATGTCTGCGGACTTACAACACTAGAAACCGGGTTTCGATATCCGTAATGGGCAGAGCACAGATAGCCAATTTTGTAGCTTTGTGCTTAACTTCAAACAAACAAAATTCTGATTAATAAAACTAATACAAAAATTTGTAAATAAAGTATTAAATAATAATAAGAGAAAGCGGTCTTTCTTCTGGTGACTTTCGCTATCAGACTAATTAATATCCAGAAACAGTTGATCACTCCAGGCAAAATATTGATAGATCGTTTATTGTGTCATCAGAGAATGATGTAGGAAACTTGATCTAGTTCAATAAGTGCTTGCCAGAGGATGTCTTGTCAATTAATTATTGATTGTCAATAAAGATATTTCAGAAGCTAATTACAAAACATTGGTGATGTTAAGTTTGAGTAAATTATAGTTTTTATATTATAATTTACTTCACTTTATAACCAAAATTATTATTTTTTTTATCTTGGACTGATATTTTAATTTTGTTTAGAGTTTATTAATTTTATATTAACCACAGCAGGATTGATTGCACATATATATGATTAAACTTCGTGAAGTGATATTCTTAATACAGGTTGTTGTTTTGCACTGTTAAAGCACTGGTGCAGACGCCCTTTTGATATATGATTTGAGTTAGATTAGGGGATATGTCTAATTAAGTAAACCCTTATTTGCGTTTTGGTACAATAGCTATGTTATAAGAGAATCTTAGTAGCCGGCATTTATTAGATCCTTCATTTTTCGTGAACTCAGTAGTAATCTTGAGATCTTATTAACGCTAACATTTGGAATTCAATCTCTGCGATTGTATATCATTGTGCTTAACAGCAAACAAACAAGCTGTTAGAGAAATTCCAAAAACAAACATTCTATTGTGTAATAACCAGATTATCTTTTTCTTTTGTGTAAGCTGCTTCTTTAACATAATACAAATGAACTACGTTTTGCAAGTGGGACAGATTTTATAGGAAAAATCTCATATATCAAGATTGCGAACATCAGGAAATTTTCTTACAAATTTAAAATACTTTAATAATTAATTCCGCCAAGTATAAAAAGAAAACAAATTGAGAAGATACTTAAAGTTGTTTTGCACATTTTAAGTTTATCACCATGAATTAAATGGACAGTATTAGCAAAGTTTTTTATAAAGAAGTCTGTAAAGCTTCTGCATAGGTATATTATCACACATTTTCAGAATTGCTGCTCCAATTTTTAGTATTTTCGCCGATATAACACCATGATATTTTCAGATCAACTTGTATATAAACACATCTTTCTATTTTCTTCTGGTTAAGAACAAACTTACAATGGGCTATCTGAGCTGTGACCATCACGGGTATCAAAACCCGATTTTTAGCGTTATTAGTCCACAGACTTACCACTGTGCCAATTGGGGCACACATTTGTCTAAGAGAAACGATCTATCATAGAAATTTAGAAACCCTCAAATGTACGAGAATAATTTAAATTGCTGTAATAGCTAGATACTGTCTCGTGATGCATATGTTTTCTTGCTTTTTTAATGCTGAATTTCGTTTGGATTTTGGTTATAGAATATATTGAGTCACTTTTTAGATAATTTAAAAAGTTAAACTTTTAACAAATATACGTTTTAGAAAAAAATTGTCTAATATAGCAATTCGTACCATTATTCTGCAATTGTAAATGAGACAAGAAAAATCTATGATGAAATAGAACTGAAAATACATGTTATGCTTAATAATACACCAAAATTTGCTTAATACTCAAACAAACGAGCGTTTTGTAATACGACATATATATATTTGTGTGTGTGTGAGTATATATTTCTAAGAAGTTAAGAAAAATATAAAAAAAATGTATAACTAAGTGAATCACGTGTATGTTAAAGTACACGTTGTTTTCATGGTAATATCCTCTAATAGTTCTTCAGCTTATAATACAAAAACTTTGTTATGTGGTCTATACTACAGATACAGCTTAGCGCGAAGACAAAAAGAAACAAAACATCTTCACCATGATGAAACTTAAGCTATTGTACAACCGCTGCAAGTACGCAGTATGACATTATGTTATTACACTCCCCCTTGCTCTCCCACTTCATCTCAAAAGAAATATACATTATTCCTCTCAATATTTTCCTGCAGGAAAATCTATAGATGTTTCCTTTTCATAGTTATAAAACACTCAATATATAGTGTTTAATAAAACAAACTACACACATTTTAACATATTTATACTGTTGTTAAACAGACTGATGCCACAAAAATGTCACAAATTTGACAAGAAGTTTTCCTTTAAACGTGAGGGAGTATCATTTAGCTATGTCAAATATACATTGGTTTGGAGTCTACAAATTTTCTAATATAAACAAATCTGTAAAACAACATAAGAATTAACAGGTATTGTTATCGATTGTGCACCATACATGTATCCACATGCTCCTATTTGTTTTACTTAACATGTGTCGGACGTCACTTTGTGTCATTATCCACTATTAAGGCGAACAGAAAATAGCTTTGTCAACTGTAATTATTGGTTGTAGTAGAATAAATTATTAAAACTGTTTTTTTTTAATTATTCCATTTAAGGAATGTCTCATTTAAGAAAAAAGTCTGACAACTGACTTGACTCTTTTCGGCAAAAAAAAATTAAAACTACGACTTAAATTTGAACCTTTTTTTAACGCTAACAATTTAACATAAGTCATGACTATTGAAATTATTTAATTTCGAGCGTTGACTGAGGTGATACTATCAAGAGCGTATATTTTGTATAAAATTCAAGAGAGTTTTCGTTTTTAAACTTTTTAATAAAGTAATTTGTGCCAAAACAATTATTTATTAACATATGTTTCCATGTTTGGTGTGGTCATGCATGGCCTAGTGTTTAGTGTGCTCGGATTTAAAATCAAATAATTCAGGGTTTGCAGCCCTTTGCCACAAAAATGCGCAGTGCATCTTGGGGTTTATGTATGCTATATGACTAGCGTTCAAATACCATAAAGTAACTCAAGAGTTGGCGGTGAGTATTGTTGACTGGTTGTCTTCCCTCCAGTCTATCAGTTAAACATCAGGGACGACTATGTGTAGTAAGCCTCCCCCCCCCCTCCTCCAGGGGCACAGCGGCATGTCTGCAGACTTACAAGGCTAGAAACAGGGTTTCGATAACCGTGGTGGGCGGAGTACATATCACCCTCTGTGTAGCTTTTTGCAAAAAGTATGAAACAAACAAAATATATTCAACAAAAATTATGAAATATTTGAAGAAGAAATTCAAAGTATTTTAAATACGTTTGAAGATCGATCTATACGTCAGCAGAAAATCGTTCATCAACTTTTTGCTGTATGTATTTTCTCTCTTTGCTTCCTGTGATCTTTAAAGAATATTTAACAGAAGATCTTCTTACCCAGCTCTCTTGATTAAGTGTTTGACATGATGCTGCAGAGTAAAGTGAGTGTTTTAAGACATTATGTGTGCCGAACAAATGCATTTACCCAAGTGCTATTGAGTTGAGCTTATCATCTATGCTGATGGATTGAAAATCATGGTTCAAGAGTACTTCATTAAAAGTACCTTCCAACAGAACACGATGACGTTAAAGTAGTTTCTTTATGTATTCATTGAAATATTTGCACTTAACTTTGTAAATTAAGTTTCTCAAAATAATTGATTTTTATTCTTATATGTCATTGTTTCTGCATTAAAAACCTGTTTGAAAACACTCTCGCTAGAATACTTTCCCAAACCTACCCTTTTCCCGCCCTTCTGAACTAAACTGACAGCATGCTAATTTATCATATGTACAGTAAGCAGCATTGAACGATGAACCTTCGTGAGTCCTGATGACAGCATAACAATGTAGAAAGGTTTTTTTTCTTCCTTCAAAATCGGTTTATCGACACACTGTAGCTATTTTCTTAGCTGTTTTTTTTCCTGCGTGATCTATAACATTAGATTTGCTAAAATTATGTAGCTACTAAACATATCCTGCTGCGTGTTCCATTTTTGTGGTTTATTAGGTTTTTGTTTTTAGCTTCATGGAATTTGCAAACGCCTAACACAATATATATAACATTGAAAAACTTAACTTTTTTCTGACCATACTGTAGTAGAGAAGCTTCAGACTAAACGAAATAGATCAATTAAGGACATAGACCCCCCTCCAGTGTCACATCTGTGTGTCTGCGGACTTACAACGCTAGAAACCGGGTTTCGATACCCGAGGTGGGCAGAGCACAGATAGCACATTGTGTAGCTTTGTGCTTAACCTCAAAAACAAACAAACAAACTCGAGGATATAGATATCCGACTTACGTTTGTATAGATGTAAAATATGGGTTATGTTTTGAAACATAAAAAATATATTCTGATAGAATTATGCCATTAGTTAGGCTACATATTAATCACGTTTGGTATTTAGCGCAACTTTGGTGTTCCTTTCATAAGAGCGCCAGGCAAAATCCAATAGTTAGCGTAAACGGACGATGTATTCGAGGTTTCGTTGTCAATTCCTGTTACCCCATAAACACGTTCCGCATTATTCGGTCAGTCAAGAGTAGTTCTAAAGTTTGCGGTTGTTGCTGTTGAAACCTTGCACTTCCCTCTGCCCTATCACTTGAAAAATAGGGAGGACTATGTGCA